CCCAGGCACCCTGCCCTTGGTGCCCTTGGCGAGGGCACTGCTTGACCTAACGCTCTTTCAGGCTTAGTATGAGAACATGAAGTAGCCACCAGCATCGTCCGTGGGAGCACAAATGTTGACCTGAGGTTGTGCCTGGGCGAGTTGGATATGTAGTTAACTCCAGTTTAGTTTCTACTCTTACCATGTGGTGAGGGTCTGTTCTAGTCGGGGACTCTCTGTTACAGGAGCTGTGAGACAGTGTTTTGGTTCAAGGTCTGCACAACTAGTCTGGCTCTCTGCTCTTGGCATCTGCAAACACTATCTTGCAGTGATCAGGTATAATAACTGGAATATAACTCGGATATAATTCTCCGTTTGAGGATCTTGTGGTGAAGCTGAGCTGAATCTCTTACTACAGTAGAAAATCCTGAATGGGAGAAAACTTTAGGCTGCCTTTTCCTCTGAGAACATATTTACTTGCCCTTCAGAAAGGACTGGAATTAATCCATCCTTTTTGTCTTTTGTGCTAATTGGATATGTTTTAGGCTCTGGCAACTTGAGCATCAGAAGTGCCGGCATAAAGGATTTACATATTCTGTGAGTGTTAGCTGTACAGATGGTGAAAATTGAATCTGTACAATAGGCCCAGCGCTGATCTTCTGGAGCCTTGACCCCAGGAACGCCTTTGGGCTTCCCTGGAGTCTCCATGTCAGTGCTGAAACGAGATGACAGCCCATCCTGAGAGCGGGGTTGGGGGCAACTCCTAACAGCAGCAATTCCTTGCAAAACTAGCATTTTTTGTTGACAAAGCCAAGAGCCAAAGCCTTCCCTTACTGATGGTAATCTGCCTACCAGCATAACAGCTTTCTGCTCAAAGTTTCGGGCTGCAATTTCTTTTTTTTTTTTTTTTTTTTATCTGAGCATGTTTTTCCTCACTTACTGTGATTGAATGTGTTATCCTTAGGGGGGAACATTAATTGAATTCTCTATCAGCCCCTGCTTTAAGAACTGGGAGGGCCCAGAGGAAGGATTACCAATAGGGGTCCTACGGCTAATGTGATTAAAAATTACTTGGCTGCAGAAGAGAGACTGTTGTTGTTCTCCATTGTGCTTCTCTGCAATGAGATAACACTGATGCTGACTGCAGAGCAGACAGGTCATACATGTTTAATTTGAGCAGCTATAAAAAGAAACTTGCAGTGGGGTTGCTCATTGGAGATTTAATAAATAAAAAGTTATTACCACAGCTCAGTATAATCCCAAGAATATCTCTTTGCATACTGTTCTTGGAAACCAAGCTATGAACGAAATTAAGCTGGGGAGCTGTTGCATTAACAGATTAGATCTGAAAGGACGTGTTATTTGTATGTTTTTTCAAGGAGTTTGGTCTTGGTTTGCGAGGTTGGAGCAGTGAGCTTTGCTTACCCTCCCAAGGCTTGAGTGTCAGTGCAGTTAGACTCTTTTACAGCTGGGGACTAAAGGCCCAGATGGAATATCCAGCCCAAGGTTACCCTCGGATTTCTTGCAGCAGTTGTGCCAGGTGCTCCAGTCGTTAAACACTTATTTTCCCTTGGTGCTTCTCTGCTAGAGGAAAAACTGAATGCAGCAGCCACTCGCGGCACTGGAACACTGTGAACTCCAGCTACGTGGGTAGGTAGCTCTGCTGCTGGTGGAGCTGAAGGGCTGCTGGATGTCCTGCTGGAGCAGCACACTGATCTTACTGGAAACTATTCCAGCTCTTTTGATTTAAACCTGAGCGCGAAGGCAGGAATGCAGGTGGACATCCTGCTCTAAGCCGGCGATGGGCCTCCAGGGGTTTGGTTTATTAGTCGCGTTTGCTTTTGGCTTGCTCCGGGCAGGAATGCACTCCTGGGAGAGGCACTGCACCTCCTGCGGAGGCTAAATCTCAGGAAATCAGCTTCTGTGCCAGGAGCATTTCCTCCTCCTGTGATTTCCCAGTTTTCTGTCCTTTTTGCTTGTCTTGAACGGGCCATTGCAGAAAGGCAGAGACACCCTCTGTGCTGTGGGCGCAAAGAAATCTCTGCTGCTGAAATAACGCACTAAGGCTTCGTGCGAGTAGATCCTGCAGTGGACTTTCCACCTTTGATGCTAGGTTGAACACTTACCCAGTGCTTTTGCACCAGCACTTTGCAGCACTTTGACACTAAGACTAATGTGCTGAGCTGCTGGTGCAAGGGGCTGCAGTGCTTGTTTTTGTGGGTTGTACTTGCATGCCAATTGACCATACTCTAATATTAATCTTCCTGTTCCTTGCCCTGGAAGATGCTCAGGAGTCACAGTGGCCTTGTCGTCAGGACCAGTTAATCATTGACGTATCTTGGCAGCTCTTGCTGTTCTGATTCTAAACTGTGCAATAAAATTTCAATTGCCTCTCTAGCATGTGTGCCACCTATGCTTTCAAAGCCTTTTTTTTTGCATTTTATGGAAGGAGTTAAATCTTGCTTTGTGTAAAGCATCAGTAGAAACACTGCAGTGCCAGAAACCTTCAGAAAGGGAAAAATCTATTGTAGTGCTGACCTTAATACTTGATTTGCTGTACACTTCTCTTTGGCTAGTAGTAATAAAAGAAGCGTAAACTGAGAAGATACTTTATGCCCAAGACATCCTGAGCAAAGATGCACACAAGCAGTGCAAATACAACTTGTGCTTCTGGACAGCCGGGAGTTTTCCACACCAAGAAGGAAGGATCTTTGCAAGAGGTGAAATGTACCTTTAAAATGTGCTTATAAAAGTAAGTAATTTCCTCCTGTTGTGCCGAGGCCTCTCTGTCGGGATTTTGAGGATTAGCGCTGCCGCTCCTTCCCTACCCCGCTGTGCTGCAGCTTGTAAAAGAGCCACATGGAGCCTCAAGGGATTTGCAGCGCAGTCACCTGCCAGGTTCTCGTAACACATGCACTTGCTTGAGGTGACCGTCCAGCTCTGGCTCTGCTGGTTCCCAAGCAAGCTGGCACCCAGGCCCTGGCTGTCTGCAATGTCCCATCTGAGTTTGTCTTTTCCTTAACTTAGGAAATGAATTCGAATTAGCCTGCAATCCAGTATTGCAGGGTATTCTTTGAGGGTGAAAATGCAGCAGGACTTCATTGGGAATAGAAATGGACTGATGGGCAAGTCAGGAGTTAGGTCTGAACTTGCATAGGCAGTTGTGAGGTGGAAACACTGTGTGCTTCCCAAAAAGGGCTGGTGCGGGAAGATGGGAGGCTGCTGTGCAGGGTCCGGAGAGGCCCCAGGAAGGTGCTTGTAGGTTCAGGAACGATTGCCTGTAAGGAGGGCCGTGCTCCTGGCATTTGTTCCCCCTAACAGTGTGAAGGACAAGCCTTGTGGATGGGGATTGAGATCTGGGCCTGAGGAGCTGCTCTGACTAGGCCACGTGCACCTCCCAGCTCAGGTGCTGGGCAAGGATGACTCTCTGCTGCTTGAAAGCTCCATGCATGCTCAGGGAGAAGAAATACACCAGCAGTTACTGGGGGTGCCCAGGTGACGCTAGTTGGTTGTGTTAATTGCTCATTAAGAAACCTGTGCCCCATAATGGTCAGGCCAGGTGGATGCTATCACAAAGACCTTACACTGGCCACTAATGCTTATCAGGTGTTTTAATTTTTCCCCTTAATAAGGTGTAGTCCTTCTTCCTTCCTCCTGGATGAAGCTGGAGGTAAGGGGATGGTTTCTCTAAGTCCTGAATATGGGGCCAGGCAAGAGGTGCTCTGTTCTATCAGAGGCTGGATCAGTGGGGAGATGGGGAGCTTTGTTGGAAATGAAGCCTAGAGAAGTCTAGGAGACAAAGCTGGTGTGAGAGCAGAGTGTGGTGTTTAAGAAGGGACAAGCTGCAGTGGCCCCGTATCTTCTCAGTTTGCTTCAGGCTCGAGGGCCAGTTTATAATGTGAAACCTTAGTTATTGGTGATAACTCATGGATGTATTTGTAGCTGTTGCCTGTAGTGGAGTTAGTCCTGTCACTGTTTTTGCCAGCAAAGCTTCCTAGCAAGGTAAGCAGCTGTGATAGGGCTTTTTCAGGCTCCTAAGCATAGCTATGCCTTGGGGTGAGCAGTCTGTTTTGTTGGTTTTCAGAGCCTGAGTAAATGAACTCATCAGTAAGTTCAGATTGGAGAATATTTCATCCATGCTTTGTGGAAAAATGTCTATGCAGCAAAATGACTGATCTCAGGGCTTGTGTAGCTCTGGAAATGAAAAAGCTCAGCCTAATCAAGCAATGTAATGTTTTAATAAAACTGCTGAGAAAGAAGTAAGAGTTATGTTCGTGTTTGTTATTATATTGAATAAATCTTTGAAGCTCTTCATAGAAGCAGGCGAGGGGGGAAAAAGAGACAAACTGACTCCCCTATTTCTTAGCTCAAGAGAGTATTGAGGCTTTACAACTGGCTACTGCTTGGCAGAGCAGAAAAAGGCAGTCTTGCCATCCTTTCCCAGCAAAATAACCATAGCATGCCCCTGAGGGGACAGTTTAAACTCTAACATATTTAGGTTTAAAGTTAGGTGTATGAATCTGGGAGTCTGTGTAAGATTTAATTTAGCCTTTGTTTAATAACAAGCAGCCATTTGTTGCTTAACCCGTGTCCTCCTCCCTTCTCTTGCCTTGCTTCCTACAGCTTTTTGCACAGATGAAGCTTCTGGCTGGTATCTTTTTGAGGCTGGTAGTCACCACATGCCAAATGATCCCTGTATATTTGGGTGCAAGGCCCTTGCAGATATGCTGTGATAGAGATGCTTGTGGCCTCTTGTGCAGGTGAAGAAGGTTGTGGCTGATGGCATGTATCTGTTTTGCACACAGCTGGTTTATTTAGATGCCTTGTGGTACTGCAGGTGTTTGTGCTCTGCATAATGTTATACAGCAGAGGCTGCTGCAGAGCTGAGCCGTGTGGTGGAAAGGATGTGTCTTGGCCAAAGCAGGAGAAGAGCTGTCCCCACAGCCAGCCCTGGGAGATGAGCAAGGCTGCCTCGGAGTGTCTTGGGAGCTTCATGCAGAGGTGTAAGGACATCGGCCACCAACTTGCTCGGCTGCTTCCTGGCCTGTCAGCTGGAACAAGGTATGTAAGTCTGGGCAGCTGGAATCTGAACGTCAGAGAGCTTTGTGCAGAGCTGGTTGGAGGGGCTGGCAGCTGTAGACTAGGGCAGTGCCATGGAGGAGTCCCCAGGGTGAGTGTCCAAGACATGGGTTCAGCTGCGGAGCAGCTTCCTGCATGGCTGTGTAGCAGGCAGGAGCCAGTGGCTCAACAAAAACAGGCTTTTTATTTATGTGCTGTCTGTGTTTAGCTTGGAAGGAGGAGCCTTTGTAGCTCTACTGCCCCGAGGTACACACTGATATGTGCATGGATGGAGCAGTCTGCTTGCTTGACTACAGTCAGAGCTCAAGAGTTGGGAGCTAAGATGTATGAAATAAAACCCAATTGTCTGTAAGTCCTGAAAGGTGTCCTTTGCGTGAGACAACTGGGAGAGTAACAGTAAAAACAGGTAGTGAGTCTCTCTGCTTTGACTTGTGGAGTAGGTACATTATAGCTTACCAGAAGAACTGTTAACTGGTCACAGATGGCATTTGGAAACAAACAGGAGTAAAACAGCAGCTCTCCTTCAGGCATGTAAAAACTCCATCCTTTCAAGGAGGATGTCTTGGTCACTGGGATCCCTTCTGAACAATAGCTATTGCATCATTATTTTGGATTTTTTTAACAAATAGAGCCAGTGTTCAACATCACCTCTGTTACTGCCTACACACAAGCATCCAAAGCTAAACCAGATGCTGTTTGAGGCGAGCTGTCTTATCTGCTTCCCCCAATTCTTAAGGGAGGTAAGTATTTCGGCTCTGAGAAATGCACATCAAAAGCTGTAAATAACCAGCGCTGCTGTTCAGTGAGGAAGAGAAGATAAACTCCATGTTATTGACATTTTCAAGTCACAGAGAAGACCCTGGCTGAGGCTGGCCAGCTGCTCCTCTGAGGAGTGAGTGAAGGAGGCTTGGCTTGCAGGAGTGTTTCATGTCTCTGGTATCTGCACGGTGTTGGGACCTGGATGCTGGCTCTGACTTTGTCCATGGTAACAGACAGGGCTGTGTAACTGTACAGGCTTTGCCCAGGGTCATAAATATCCTCACTGGGGTCTCCTTTTGCCTGAAAGGTGCAGAAACCAGCCCTTCCATGCTTCTTACTTGCTTTTAATTGCAAGGGCTTTCATTGCAAGGGGAGCACTTCAGCTGTGAGAATTCTCCAGATTGCTTGAGTCAATGCAGCTGGCTGATTTGTATGAACTAGGTACTGGCTCTGGACATAGCAAAGATACTCAGCTCAAAATTAAGGAGCTTACTCTGGCACTCTTAATTCACTTGAAGGCACTGATAAATGTATTTTAAGTAGGTCTTGCTTGATAAGGATGGAAAAATAGTGAATACTCATTCATCCCAGAAGAGGATTTTAATAAGAGAAATATCAGAGTCCTTTGGCTAGTCCTAATTAAGCTCCTTGTTCAAGGATTAAGGTCACCAAAGCAATCATTTTGTTTCATAGGAAATCTGATGTTTTTCCCTAACCTTCACGTCGATCATCTTTGTATTCAGCAAACAGCTCCTGAGACAGGAAATGGGAAAGGGGAAATGCGGATGCAAACAACCTGCATCCAAGTAGTCTGGGAAGCACCTTCTGGAGTAATGCCCTCTATGTCATGTGTAAATTATGTTTTAAGCATTAAAAACAAGTAAGATGTCTCTGTCAGCCAGTACCTGAAAAAGGAAGCCTGGTGATTTTTCTGCTATCAAGTAAGAGCTTGTCTGGAGTATGACTTTCAGCATGTTGAAAGATGCATGTTGTAGGCCATGAACTGAGATCCTTGCTTGGAGGTAGGAGCTGGTGGTTCTGGAGGGCAGCTCATCTGTTGGGCTGGGGCTCTGCTGATGCCCATCAGCAGTGTGAAGCTTTAGAACGTTTTTCTCCTCCTTGAGGGTTGACCCAGTGTGTTTCTGCTTTTGTGCCACCTCAGTTGTGCTGGTCGGCATGAGAGCGCGTGAGCTACAGGTGTGTTTAGCAAGATGCCTTGTGATCCTTCGGATGTGAGGGAGTGGATATGCTGGAATGCAGAGACTGTTTAAAACATCTTCTTAAATATGTTAACAGCCCAGCTTGTGAAGGAAGGTGTATTCTTATGGGAGCAGAAGTTATTAGAAAAAGATGAAGAAACAAAAAAGTGAGTAATAAGGTAAACTAGCAGTAAAACATTTTGATAAAAGGTGTGGAGAGCTACAAAAAATGTCTGGTTGAAGATGTGTTAGCAGCCAGTGGAAAAAAAAATCTATAAAGGCGTTCTTTTCAATGCAACGTGGATGAAATTTTAAAATGTCTTGCATGCGGGAAGTTAATTCTCTGTGTTGGGAGAGAAATATATGTAATGAAAAAGAGAGAAAAAACTGCTGAATATAGCATTTGTGGCAGATAAATAGTGCTGTGCATTCCAGTGACAGGCTTTGGGGGGGCAAAATACATTGGTTATATGAAAGAACAACTAGGTAAGGGAGAACGCACAAGACAAGCACTAGATAACAAATGGCCCCAGGGAACTGTAAATTCAGATATGGGGAAGGGTAAGATCTTGTTCTGGCTAAATAAGTGGAAAGTACTATTTGTCTGAAAACTATGAACTCAGAAGTTGCTATTTTTAGACTTGTTTCTCAGAGGAGGTGAGGTTGGTTTGATTGTAATGATTTTGCAGGTGCAGGTTGGTGAGGATGTATAAGACCTTGCAGTCAATCCTCTTTGCAGTATGGAGATGTGGTTTTCCAGGACTAGCCCTCATTTCCTTAGGAAAAGAGGGCTTTGGCAGTTTGAGTGCAGAAAGGTGCACGTGCAGCCCTGCACAGACCCTGAGTGAAAGGGCTGTGCTGGTTTTGTGGAGTGGTGAGTTCACTCAACTTTGCTCCATGGATCACAGAACAGTGGAGAACAGCCAGGACCTTTACTATCCTTCCACTGTCCTTGCTTTTGAAGGTCCCTTGGGATGCACCTTCTGAATATTCAAGCCTAGAATGGCAAGCTAGCCAACCTTCTCTGCATATTTATTTCCAGGTTCCTCAAACCAAGAGGGTGAAAATCGCCCCAAATGAGCGTGTTTTGACGGTTGTTTACCAATGTAATATCCTGCAATAATCTGTCTGTCAGTCTTTAATTACAGTGACAGTAACCATTTGGTTTTCCACATGTGCTGTTCACCCTGCTTCCTGTCTTAGGGACTTTCTCAGCAAAGCTGTTGAGATTTTCCTAAGGGAAAATACAATGCTTCCAAATAAATCATCAAGATCAGTGGGTGCTTGTCAACATTTTTTAGTCCTGGACAGGAAACTTTCCTTGGCTATTTGCCATGTTCTCTGCTCTTGCCCCCTTCCCCATCAGTTTAGCCTGTGCTCCCTGGAACGCTGGTCTAAATTAGCCCCCCTCAAGGCTTTAATTTGTGCTGAGCTAACGTGTTGCGACATTGCTGTGCCGTGGCGAGTGTCGTGTGCTCCTGCAGAGTAACGGCTTGGGAGGAGATCTTCCAAGTTGTAAATGCATCTGTCAATCCATGCCTTACACTTCCCTCTTCCATTGCTCTTCATCGAGCACCAAATGCCACTAGAAAGGCAAGGGAAAACACTGTGGCTGCAGTCTTGCTATGAGGGAAGTACCAGTGAACGGTGTTAGCAAAGCGCTGCCTCCCTGATTCTTAACGTGTCTGTGCCAAGATTGAGCTGTCAGTCATTCAAATCATATTGATCTGACTGGTGCTGTGCCAGACCTGGTGGGCGATGGATGTCAGATGCCCCGGGGGCTGCTGTGAAGGCTGTGTGAATGGTGCTCAGCTGGAGCTGAAATCGCACCCCGTTCACCTTCCAGCAGCCATGTGTGCATTGGGGAACCTTTAATGGTCCACTTTAATGGTCTCATTTAGTGGGAGCTGTCAGTGCTCTCTCTGCTTCTGTCTTTGCCAGAATCCTGTCTGTCCTGTTCTCTAAGAGAGCCCTCATGGTGAGGGATGGACAACCGAAGTGTGGGATGAGAGGTCTGAGCTGGATCAGCTTATCTTCTCCAAACTTGGAGCAGAGCAAGGGAATGGGCAAGTCTCCCAGGCTGACAAGTGCACCCTGAAGTCTTACTGCTAACATGTGTCCTATCAAGCCCTTATTAGCTATCTCATGTAGAAGTTGGCATGGTTGGTGTATATACAGCTTTTGATTAGGTTTCAAAGCAGCAGTAACCACTATCTCAAAACTGTGCTTTGAAAGCAGTGTTATATTTAGTCCTTTTTTTTAATACTAACAACTCCAGTGATAGAAATTGGACCTTGGAGCTTCAAAGCAGCTGTTCTGTCAAGGAAGCCTTGCTGAATAAAAGCTCCCCTGCTCAGCTCCCCTCCTCCTGCCTTTCCCGCTGCCAGCTGTGTCAGCCCGGCAGCAAGGAAGCCAAGTTGGCCTTGAAGTGAATCTAAAGAGCAGAGCGAGCGAGGAGAGAGGTGGAGTTAGCCGGCTAAATGGGATCGCGGGGCTGCAGCGTGGGAAGATGAGAAAGCAGGAGCAAAGGGAGCGATGCTTGAATCTCTGTGTGGGTGAGCTCTGCGGAGCAAGGGCTGAATAGAGGGGAGGACCCAGGAGTTTGAAGACTGAAGGCGCTCAGTGAAAGATAGGGATAATGCTCCTTTTTCTTTCTGGAATAACAATCAAAGGAGAAAAAAAATAAAAGGGTAGGGGGGCTGTGGAGGAAGTGAGTGAAATCGGTGCCAAATTGCAGTTAAAACGTGAGCCTTCTACAGGGGCTGTGAAACGCAAAGAAAATCTTGACGTCTTTGTGTCATGCAGGAAGCAAGAACAATAAGCAGGCGGATGAGGTGGCTGTAGGCACAATATTCCTATGTCATGGTGTGCCTGTTCCATCTGTTGAGTAACTGTGCTGTAAGCTGTCACTGGCAATGCTTGTTTTTAACCTTAAGTGCAATGTAAACGCTGTGTTCTTCTGACTACCTCGAAGTCCCAGGTGAATACAGCACAGGGTTTTCCCTTATTTCCTCAACCTTTTGA